TCCAGTAGAATAACAGTAATGGGTACAAACCTGTTGAGTTTATGTCCTATCAACTACCTAGTGAGAAAGTCGCCGCTTCCACATATGAGAGAGAGCTATTTCCTCTTTGAAAAGCTTTGAATCATTGGCGACATTACCTCCAAGGTCGGCACTTCAAAGTATATTCGGTCCATGAGACACTTCGCTGGATAAAGACCCAAGCTCGAAGGACTCCTAAGTTGACTAGGTGGGCTGCAGAGATAGACCAGTTCGACTTAAAATTAAGGGCAGTAAACGGGAAGTACAATGTCGTTGCTGATGCGCTAAGTAAACGAGTTGAGTGTTTTTTGTGTCATTGTAACATATTTGGATGCAGGCGCCGAGTTGCAGGAGAAGATTAGATCTGCTTACGCTAGCGATCTTGTCTATAGTCAGTTGATCAACAAGGTGCAAACAACACCACATGAAGTTCCGGGCTTTAGGATGGCACAAGGACTGTTGTTTGAGAAGACGGACGTGCACAGTAGACTGTGCATACCAAACAATGAGGAGATTCGCAATCTACTCCTAGGTTAATGTCACGACACTAAGGGACATTTCGGTTGGAGGAAGACTTATGCTAACCTCCTACGTCCCTATACTTGGGCTGGAATGAAGCATGACTGTATGGCCTATGTCCAAGGCTGCAAAGTATGTCAGAGGAACAAGAGTTGCACGCAGCTCCCCTGGGTTTACTTAGACCGCTGCCTATACCATCGGGTACTTGGAGACTCTGTGTCTATAGACTTTATGGACACTAAGGTTAGAAGTAGGAATGGGATGATTGTGGATAAATTCAGCAAGTTTGCTCTTTGAGAAGCTTTGAATTATTGGCGACATTACCTCGAAGATAGGTTTTCCCAATTCCACAAACCTACTATTTCCGAAAGTTCTTCAATCATTGGGTGAAAGACTACCGCATCCCATGATTATTTTAAGTGATAGGGATACAAGGTTCACGGGCGAGCACTGGCAACAACTCATGAACATCCATGGGTCCAGCTTGACTTCGTCCACAGGCAGACATCCTGCGACAAATGGACAGACCGAGCAGATTGACAAAGTGCTGCAGCAGATGTTGCGTATGTACATCCGACCAGATCAGATTGATTGCGATGAACATTTAGCTAAGGTTGCTAGTACCTATAACAATTCCATGCATTTAGCTACAGCAAGAACACCCACTGAACTGCATTTGGGTGGGCGCCCATGCAGGCCCATCGATTGTCTGAACCCTGATCAAGTGCAGAGGCTTCCTCCGGGGACTAGAGAATTTGCTGCGCAGTATCAGAAAAATTTAGAAAAGGTAAGAGAGAACATCAGGAAAGCACGGCATCCGATGATAGAACGAGCAAATAAGCACCGCAGACCTTCGCAGTTTGCCATAGATGATTTGGTTTGAGTAAAGTCTAAGGAGTTTCTCCCAGAGGAGAACATCTCGCAGAAGTTATTGCCTCCATATAGGTGACGTGGATGGTCTCCTTCCTACGTTCTTGAGATTCCTCCACATTTGCACACTTACCCGGTGTTTCATGATTCCAAGTTGCTCCCTTGTGTCAGTATTGATCTGTTTCCGTCCCGGAGATCTATGATTCCTCCTGATATGGATGACAAGTATGACGTGGACCGCATCGTTGCAGAGGATGTCTATAGATCCGGATGCAGTGGTAGGCCCCAGCGACAGTATATGTTATTGGTGACGTGGATGGTCCTTCCTACGTTGTTGAGATTCCACCACATTTGCACACTTGCCTGATGTTTCATGATTCCAAGTTGCTCCCTTGTGTCAGTAATGATCTGTTTCCGTCCCGGAGATCTATGATTCCTCCTGATATGGATGGCAAGTATGACCTGGACCGCATCAGTGCTGAGGATGTCTATAGTTCCGGACCAGGGGTGGGCCCGGGCGACAGTATAAAGTCAGATTCGCTTATCAAGAGCCCTCTGAAGATCCCTGGTTTACGAGAGGTGAGCTGATTGAAACAGCACCGCACATAGTGTCTTGCTATGAGAGAGATAGACGAGGAATCAAAATAGCTGATAGGTAAAGATTGTAACTTTCTCGGAGGACCTCGAAATTAGGCTGGCGAGAGTGAAAGTTCCCGGGGTCAAGTTCCCAGGCTAAAGAAGGCCGAGTCGGCCAGTTCAGAAAGGCTAAGTCGGGTGCCCCAGAGGTCAAGTCCAACAGGCACCCGGTCAACAGTCACATCCCAGAGGGAAAGGTTGTATTCAGTAAGCAAAAGTCATGTCTCAAGGTGAAAAGTTGTGTCTGACAGGCAAGAGTCACATCTCGGTCATGTCTCATGGTGTAACATGCCCAGTTGGGCAATGTATGTATAGCCAAGGATCCACAATGTGATAAAAAGGACTGAATGGACAATGCGGTGTTAGTGGAATCCCAAGAAGCAATGTACATCCTGATACATACAAAATGGCACCTTGTAGCGCAGTGGAAGACTTAGATATAAGCCCTGACCTGACCGGGACTGACCTCTCTCACATAGTACAAGACAGCGCAGCGGAATGCTAGAATACCGATGACTAGCCCAATCAATGTTGGAATGCAGACCAAACATACATCATCCTCATCACAAGGTCTGAAGGGGGCCTGGCGCTACACAGGAAGAATGCACCAGGTCCAGACCATACACAGACGAAGAGGAGGGGATCAGACGAAGAAGAGGGGGAAGATGGGAATGTTGTCAACACCAAGTCTTCGGTACAAGTCCTAGATAATCCCTCGTCAAATGTCTGAAGCCCAATGTCGAGTCTGGATCCAAATGTCACCAATCCCTCTCTCTCATAGTCTGGTGATGCATTGAAGTCAGGTAGCGAGAGGGTGAGGGGGAGATGGTGGACTGAGAAGAGGAAGAAGAAGAACTCTCTCTCTCTCTCTCTCTCATGTGCCAGGTACTAACCTGTGAAGATGGGGCTGTGCTGCAGGTACCTCGACGACGAGCTGGAGCTATGGCGCTGCAGGTAAGTCTCCCTGGCCTCCGCCCAATCTCTATCTCTCTCCAGTGCTACTCTAGCTCCTAATAGCGCCCAGCGCTCTACTACTACTGCAGCGCTCCTCCAGAGTGCTGCTGCCAAATCCTGAAGACTACCTCCTGCCTCCTTAACTGCACGTGAAGTGCCTGGGAAGTCCCTATGAACTACCTGCAGCCTGCAGGGCGGGCCAGTCTTATATAGTGCTGGCCCGTCCAGGAGGCTTCTCTTGCCAATGCCAAAACGTGCCAGACCCTGGCGTTGAAGTTCAAACAAAGGTTGTCTGGAAAACAGGCCCAAAATGGCCTGTGCTAAGACCCTGGTCTGGTGCCCAAGTTTCAGGGCAGGTCCATCTTATGAGGGCCTGAAAATGGCCCTCCGTTTCAGGCTGAAAAGACTCAGGGCCTGGAGGGCCCTTTTTTAGGCTGAAACGACACAGGGCCTGTAGGCCCTTGTTTTCAGGCTTTCAGGCTGAAACGACACAGGGCCTGTAGGCCCTTGTTTTCAGGCTTTCAGGCTGAAACGACCCAGGGCCTGAAAATGGCCCTCGCTTGCAAGCACAGCATGTTGCAGGCGCAGCATGTAACACATGGGAGAGTCGCATCCCACAGATGAAAAGTCGTGACTCACAGGCCCAAGCAGCAGCACACCAAGGGAAATTCAGGGAGGTACCAGGGCTCGACATTCTGAAGCAAACAGGCCACGGGCATGTGGCACTGGGTTCAAGTCAAGCCAAAGAAAGCAGAGGCTGGGACCAGTCCAAGTAAATGTAAGGACTGGCCAGCCACATTTCAGACAGATGGCTCATTCGTGAGAAGTGTGGAAGTGCTGCTGAAGTGTTTGTGCGCTATCTGCGGGTGGCATGCGTGAGGGCCCTGGCTGGGCAGCACTGTGCTGAGAAAAAAGAAGGTCGCCATAGCCACATAGCTAGTAGTAGGGGACAGAGCTGAGTAGTAGCGGATGTATTCAGAGTCAAGATCCTCAAGTAGAGAGAGGGAGACAGAGTAGAGGGAGAAAGTGAGCGCATGCATGAAGAGAGACAGAGAGTGAGGGTCAGAGAGAGAAGAGAGTCACCTACCTTAGATGAGGAAGCTGGAATTGGGTTGTTGGACTCTGCGCTGACGAGCGCTGGCGACTGGAACTCTGAAACTGCTTAATATGATAATGCGTTGGAATTCCTAAGCTGTGCTGTTATGGACTTTGCATCTCTGGTGTCCAGTGTGGATTCCGTGTGATCTCTCATATGTGTGTGTGTTTTAGCCCCAATTCCACCCAGGTGAATAGACTCAGAATCACAGCAGTCTATATCCTATTGCAGACAACGAGAGCATTTGAGATGTCCAACATATTCAAGCAATTTTATAGTTAGACAGTTTTTTGGTTGTTCTTGGGGTACCCCTTTCATTGTTCTTGCAGCTCCCCTTTTACTGTGCCTCTAACGCGGAAGGCTGCCCACGTTGATTGTGGTTGAGCGGCAGCTGCCCACATCCCCGTGTGCCTCCACGGCCTGTGTGTGCTCCAAGGTGACGAGCAGTGAGGCTCAATGCAACTCTGTGCTCCTTGCAGGAACATTCTCCAACGGTCTCGCCCACTGAAATCTGTTGTGGAGTTCTGAGATGTGATCGATGCTGATGTAAATGCAAGGTCCTGTTGATAGCTGATGCGTTCGCATCTAGAGTGGGCTTCTACAAGCACCAGGGGGACAAGATGGGTCTCAGTGCTGAAGTTTCTTTGTCCAAATCTTGGGACTCCTGAACTCTCAAATGCACACAATCGTTCTCTCATCCACAATGCGTTCCAAACTTGCACACACATGCCAATGTACTGCTCACAGACAGACGAGTATCAAACACTTGACACAATTGCACACAGACGCACATCTGCTGATACAGACAAGAAGTGTCGGACAGAGCGAGCAAAGAGCGCGGTAGTAGTAAGCAAACTGGGGCGTATGGGCCTGATCAAGGCAATTCCTTATGAAAGAAGCAACCAACCTCTGCCCATGGGGGGAGCATGACATTGCCAAGAACTTCACCATCCTGCTTAACCCCCAAGAAGTATGTATTTGAATTTGAAAGAAACTCAGGCAAATAGAAGAACTCCGGTACGAGCTCTTTTACATCCGAAGTGTTTGTCAAGCAGTTCGAATATGCAGATTCGACGCTGTGAAAGAGCCTATCTGCATGGTCGAACTTCCCACCCTGCATACCACAGCACAACCAAATAACCGGCCCGTCTGAGAGGTTTGAAAGGAAATCCACACTCGAAATACAGGACAGAGGTCCTTTCAGTGTGGGTTTGAAAGGAAATTCACATTCAAACAAATAACTATTCACTTTTACACACTTCCACTTCCATTATTTTCAAGTTTTGACATCTGAAGAGTAGAAATTCCAGCATCCCTCTTGCTCGCCCTCTCCTCCTCCCTCCACCCATTCTGCTTGCATGGGTTCCACCTCAGAACGAGGGGCAGGGAAACAGTTAAATGAGCACGGGGTGAAGGCTGTGGCATCAAAAGGGGCAGAATGTGGAAGACTGCTGGAGGCAGCAGGGGAGGGGAGAGCAGTAGAGGAATGTGTGGGTGACTCGAGGTGTACATGTGAATAAGCCTCTCTCTCTCTCTCTCTCTCTCTCTCTCTCTCTCTCTCTCTCTCTCTCTCTCTCTCTCTCTCTGTGTGTGTGTGTGTGTGTGTGTGTCTGTCTCTGCACATGGTGGAAGAGTGGGCAAGGTAGTGGTGATGGGTGACGCATCAGCAGAGGGTGCATAGGCAGGTGGCAGGTGCAGCCGAAGGTGCAGGTGGGTGGCGGCGTGGTAGTGGGCACAACTGAGAACAGACAAACATGCACCATGTGGGAGAGAACTCTTGATTACTAAGAGAAAAGGGTAGACACGCACAAACACCATGAACTGCATCGCCCCTGGTACCCACCTAGCTGTTCAATACCAGATGAATACAACGATGAGCTCTTGCCCACTTTTGATTTTTTTAAAACACAGAAATTAGGTGAGATCCGAATTACGATTTACTGGTGTCTGCTACACACCTGCAGATGTCGATGAAGTGTGGTGAATGGCTCAAGTCGGATCAAGTAGAACAGTACAATGCCCGCGCTAGAATAGTGAGATCCATAATAGAAGCTGTTCACAATGTCACACCATCAGGCGAACGGACGCATACAGTCCCACATGAGCAAAACAGCCGAGATTTGGAGACCTGCATACATACTACATAGGCTGGGTGTCTATTCAGAGACATTCGAGTGGATTGACTCTTGGTATTATGGTTGTTTTGCTATTTTCAAAACAGTAGACTTGGAGACTGGATTTGTAACCAACTTTGAACTCTATCTTAAGAAATGAACAAACACATGCTACGGCTGGAACTTTACATCTTGCAGTGACTGCACTGCACCTGTTTCTGGTGGATGCCACACTCCCAGCCCATGTTCCCACTGCAAGGAGGTAAAATGAAAACAGATGAGAACTACCACATGTGTGAGATATGCAAGGAGATGAGATGAGGCCTATCATTTTGAACCACTCATCGCCAAATGCTCCTTCTCCAGGCTTATTGGCATCCAGGGAATTATAAGTTAAACGACCAGTATCTTTCCCTGCTTGAGAACCAAATACACGGCTCATTCACAGCCACATTTTTTGGGGGTTCGGGTACCAGACTGAAGTGGCTGGCGGCGCCAGGCAAAATGAGGCCCGCGTCAGATTATTTTTTTTTGGCGCACAGGGCAAATTTAGGGTCAGCATCGGTAGCTGGGCTGGGTACTGGCGGTACATCTGAAAAGGGAGATTGAGCCTCTCCTAAAGATAGGAGAGGCCACGAACAGCCGAATCATTTTATTGATGGTCCATGGCCTCTGAATTTTTAGGAGAGGCTCAATCTGCTTTTCCGGATGTACTGGTGGTTTAAGGTGCCATGGTGTTTCAACATTTTAGTGCCCTTCAGCTGGCAACATTTTAGTGCCCTTCAGCTGGCCACAAGACATATACCAATTTGAAAGTATGCGTGAGAATAGGGGGCACAAAAAGAGATGAGACATCCAACACGTTACAAACTTAACAGGCACTGATTAGCAGATGATTTCGGCCAAAACGAGGTCAATACGGCAACCGAATCGTTAATATTAATCTTGCTTGCATGTGATTTAAGTCAACCAGCTCTTCAAAAATATCTGTGAAAGCTATGCGAGGACTGAGCCCTCAAGGGGCCCTAATAGACATGCAAGTGTTCCTGGCTGTTGGGCCCAGCAAGCCTTGTGCCCGCCCTAAGCGAAGGCGGGCCTGAATATCCACAAGAGGCCTATTTTCAATATTTTCCATATGTGGGTACACAGACAGTTGCAGCACGCCAGTTGGTTGCAGGGAAACGTGAGCCTCCAGTACTGGGCTGTACTGTTGAACACAGGCCCCGGTGGTTGCACACTGGGCACACACAGAGTGAGGCCGACACATCACGCAGCGGCCACGGACGAATGAGAAAGCAGCATCGTCGTCAAACAATCTCCGCTATCCAATGAGAACGTGGCCAACCCTTGGAGCCTGGGAGGCTACCGATACGTGCCCAACCGAAAAGGTCCCAGGCCCTTCACTGTAGAGGTGGGCCTGGGCGCAGAGACTGGGGCCTGACTGGAAGCTACTGGAAACTTCCCCAGCCAGACCCACGCAGACACACAGGGGCTACACTTTCCATAAGGAAAGAGGCCAGCCCAGGCAGAGGCATTCTGGCCTAGGCAGGCAATGCGGACACACTGCTGCGTTGCTACACAAGTGTCTGCATGGGCACTGCTGGTCGGACGCGCCAACGTGTGCTGAGGTGAGGGGCGCTGCAAGGGCAGCGGGCGCACAGCAGCCATAGCCGGGCTGCAGGGACACAAGGCAGGTGATGGCAAAGGTGGTCTTCGCGTAGGAGATGCATGCTGTGGGGAGACGAGAGGTGATGATGAGAGGAGAGAGAACGTACCAGGTGTATGCTGGTGATCGGCATTGGTGTTGACGTCACATACATTGGTCTTCGACTTCAGAGTGATCCAGTTGCGAGAACGTAGATAGGCGAGATAGGCTGAGTACGATAGGCTGGGCGCTGGGTGACAGAGTAAGTGCGCCATGGATACAGTATTGGTGTGACCAGAGAGTGGAGACATTGACATTCAAGTTCGTTGTGTTGCTCTTATTTGGACGGTATCTTGGTGCATTGCACTCTCCGCTTGGTTCATGACTATCTGAGCTACTACGTGATTTTGCAACTTGGATTTCTGTCTATCGCTCTCGCTCATATTCCTTGCAATTTCGTATCAGAGTTGGTTCGAGATCGCCGTTACCGGCGCTGGCGACATTGTTACTTGTTGCACTGATGAAGCTTCTACGCAGTGAGGCTTACATTTGCAATGACTTGCTGATTTTTACTCCCGAGACTGACTGTGAGGTTGTACAGTAACAGCGGTAGGGTAGATTCGTAATTTTGTTTGGCTGAGGGCTAACCGAGAGACCAACCAGTACGGAAAATTCGTTAGGGACATATCTGCAAATATGCGAAATATCGGCCCAGCACTACCCCGAATTTCCTACAGCTACCCCTACTTCGTATAGCAGACCCGGGCTACCCCTAGGACGGACAGGCCCGAGGGGCCTAGACCGATAGACGGTCCTATAGCCTATAGCCGGGTAGGGAGGGGCCGAGAGGCCGAAACTGGAACGGTACCGGTCGGTCCAGTCAGTCGGGTCTAGGTCTAGGCTAGGTAGTGTAGATCTATTAATAGATTAGGAAAATCAGTTCAGGACTTTTGGCTGTTCATTTTCGCCAAGCAGCGTTTGGAGAAGCCAAGCAAGTTGGCGGTGGTAATTATCTACAGGCGGCATCCTGAGACCCTTGCCGCGGACAGCAGCCATAGTTGGCCCTCCTGAAGGTTGTCAGAGCTGGGACATCCTCAGCGCATCTACCCCTGAGGGTATCTGCGTTTGGCCGAGCTATCTCGAGGCTCTTCACTGAGTGTTTGTGGGTGGCGGCAGCCATAGCTGTCTGGTTCTTCGTCAGAGTTGTTCATCGACACTGAAGACTTCAACACAGGATCTGTTCTTCATCAGGGTGGTTGGCGTTGGCCTCAGGGAGGCTATTTCGGTGTTGCGCTACTAACTCGGTGTAGGGTAGCGAGTGGAGTGTGGGGTTCTGAATGTGGCGAGATACTGGAACAAACTCTGTGACGATATTTGGATTACTTGGCTCATCATCACTGTGAATTCCAATTGTTATCCTCACAGGTTTTCTTGTGATTGGTTGTTGGGAGTATTGTCAGAGAGTGAGGAACACTGTGTGTCTTCTCCCCACCTGTGCATAGCTGTATTCCGCTGCCTATTTTGATTTGTGTACGGTCTGGACTCTGTCTCCTCTCCCCCTTTGCTTATGCATGTATGGGCGTGTATGAGACTGTCTGTGTGTGAGTGGCGGTAAAAATCGTCAGACAAGCAAGTTCATTGGTATCAGATCAGGATTGGAAATGGAGCACTGAGGGTTGAGTGCAAAGGGGCATCTTCTTCATCTGGCGATATACTGGCGAGAGATTCAAGGCGATTCATCTTCCCAGTACTGAGTCAGCAGGGAAGAAGATCTCAAGCGGTGATTCAGGAGTTCAGTGCTTGTACAGAGCAAGCGCATTGAGCCTGTCAGGACGCTTGCAAGGAAAGGCAAGAACAGGGCTAATTCGCCATAGCCAGCCCTGAGGGCAGGATAGCGAATTGCCTCAGAGTGGCGAATTACCCCTGGGGACCTCATGGATCTCTGAGCGGCTTCATCCCTGTGCAGCGCTGAGGGAGATTGACAGTCAGTGTCAATCTCAGGTGAAAATAACCTCATATGGGGCTATTCATAGCATCAGCGGCTGTCAGGCACTGTGGCGAGACAATTTCCTGTTGGCTTTCTGGGCGCCACAGGGTCAGATCCGATGTACCTGACTAAGGGTTGCAGCGCTTCAGGATCCTGAAGAGGATCAACAAGTTTGAAGTGATTCTGTGCGTGGAGGACAGAGGAGGGAGTTCTGGAAGAAACTTGCTAGATGAGGGTTTCAGTCTGCCATAGCCAGATCTTCACCCAGCTCTGCAGGAAACTCTGAAAGTGAGTCCGTTCCATGCACACCCCTGTATAGCGATTCAGATTGGGTTCGAGTAATTAGTATTGGTGGTCTATTTGTCTGTCAGTGACTGGAATTGAAAATCGCAGACTGCATGACAGCCATAGCCATCACTCTCCTACCTTCCTCTGCTCATTTCTTACCCTTTGTTGACTCCTTTTCATCCAAAATTATTCTGTGACTGCCTGACTGTATTGCGATTGATCTGGGATGCTTAGATTGAGAATTCAGTACTGGAAAAGTAGAGATACTGTGAATTGTAATTTTGCGCTAAGTCTAATTATAGTCTGTGCTAGCTAGGGTCAGTCATAACTCCAATTCTGTCCGTCAGAATTCAATTCTGTCAGTTGCCAGTGAATCGCAATCTAAAAATAGTCAGTATTGCAGGAGGGCTTGATTGGATTTGCAGCATTTCACTGAAAACAGTGAATACTGTATTCAGCCATACCCCAGGGTATGGCTGTCAGAGTCATCAGGGCCAAAATTGGAGTTTGGGTTAGGAATTAGGGTCTCTGACTGAATGGCTCTGCTTGTTTGATTATTCTTCTCTTTACTTGCCATGTTCTATCATTCTCACTGATTACTCTTGCTTTCTAGTGGGCTCTGGAAATCTAGTGTTTCTCTGGAAGAGTAGTGGTTGTGTCTACTAACTCTAGTGTGGTGTAGGGTCAGTAAAAGGAAAACGTGTGAGAGATTTTACTGGACTATCTGTCTGTTTGACACCCGACCCTACAGAATTGTTCCAACCCAAACCGTTTGTTGCCTATTCACCCACCTACCTTTGTGCATGAGATAGCAGCGATTTCTAAGACTCTGAGGGAAATTGAAACCCGTTGCATACTCCCCTGCTTGTCCATTAATTATTGTGTACTGAAAGAGGAAAATGGCGGATCAGTGTACTCAGCAGCAGCCACAAGTGGAAGTAGTGATGAAGGTAGAAGAACAACAACCTTCTACCTCCACCCCTACTACTCCTCTGACTGCTACTCAGCAAAAGAAAAA